GAAATATTGATGATAAACACAAAAATTCCTACATTATAATTGAGATTATCTTCCTCACAGATTTATTATACATGCTTGTCTGTTGAAATTTATTTATTTTTGACAAAGTATTTATAACCTTTTAAAGTAATTTAAATAAGAAAAAAATGGATCTCTGATCGTTTAAAAAAGTAGCCAAAGATTACTAGATATTTAATTTTTCCTTTGCCTTTGTTTGCACCATTCTTCATGTGTTTATCCGATATTCCATAGTGATACAATGTTATAAATTCAATGCAGTACTAGAGACATTTGAATGAATTTAATACTTTAATTATTAAAATAATTTTCTACTTTTTAACTACACTGTTAGCGAGTTAATAAAAAGCTTTGGATGTCTTAAGATCTTTTTGAACTAATGAGATGAATGAACATATACCTGTACATCGGAGAAATGGTTTTAAACAACAATTATAGAACACGTTTTTCGATCAAATAATCATTCTCCCAGATGAGCCCTGCACCATTTGGAAAATTCATGTGATCTAACGGACCAGTTGACTGTAAAATTAAGTGGTTCTTGCCAAAATCAGGTGGTCTCGGACCAATGGACCACCGCTAATGTCGAGGCCTGATAGACAGAAGTTCTAGGCATTAAAAAGACGAAGTGATGCCATTATAGACTTTATTTTAAAACACCAGTTACCATTACATAGAATAGTCTTGATAAACAATAATTTGATAACACTGCCGCTGTAAAAATTGACTAGTCTATTCCAGACCGAAACCGTATTTAACTATCTTTGTATTTTAGAAATGTTAAATTTAGTACATGTAATCTTTAAACACATAAGTAACAGCATACGACATTGCATCAAATAGATGAATACAGAATCCCTAAAGAAAGCCCAACACGGCAAAATTGAAAATGTTGCAGGCTCCTGACTGATTTAACTGTTTTACAACACAATTAATTCTAATACAATGTAAAACAAAGATATGGTCTTTTCGTAGAAGTTTTTTAAGTGCTGAAATGTGAAGAAATAGAGAAAATAAGATTCCCTAAAGAAAGCTGAAAAACCTCTTCGAGGAAATAAGTATCATTTCCTTTTCATATTAAATAGGAACACTTTGTGATAATTAAAATCAATGTACTGAAAATATGCTGAAAAACATGTGTCACATATTATCAGCAATATATATATTTTTCTGCACTTAAAAAATGCTCCGAAAAGACCATGTTTGTATGTTTTTACTACTGAATACATTTAGATATCGAAGAACATTGCTTCGTGCTCTTGGCAAAAAAGGAAAAATAATACGGTGTTGACCTTATTTTATAAACGTGGTCGCACATATTAAGATATGATCTGTCTGTAAAATAGAGAAAATAAGAATCCATAAAGAAAGTCCAAAACGGCAAAATGGAAAATGGTGCAGGTTCGGTTTAATTGAGCCTAATAATGAACGGTACTGTAAAGTGCAAACTACCGTCCACACCCACTAGCACCGGCTTACATATCACACTGCCAGGCTCGCCATCTGTCTGCGCATGCGCAGCAAATATAGTGTTACGTTCTTACGGGTTTAACAAAATTCACACCACACCGGCTTAAATAACATGAATCACCAAAATGGCTGATTCTCAATGAAATAAGCAGAAACAATTGTTATCCATGTGTGGAATATGTGTTATATTTTCGATCCTTGAAGATCGTTCAGCACGACATTATTGTTGTGCTTGTGGTATTTTTAGTTTCAACTTTTTGGCACTTTCTAGTTGGGTGGTTCCAATATTCCTACTTGAATAATGTTGAATCACCCTTAGGATATGTTGCCTGCTTTTTAAATTTGTCTTTTGACGTCCTATCTGTGATACGCAGGCTTCATAACCTCAGATCCCCTTTCAAAATTCCATTTTATTTAGTTCCGCCCATTGTTTTCTCGTTTAGGGCACACGCATTTTTTTACTTGGGGACCATATGCCGCTTTTCATGGAATGGCACTACCGTGTCACATTGAAGGTTCCATGATAACCGCCATATGAACACATCTGCGGATGTTTCAAAATTCTAAATTTTACCAGTTCATGTTAAATGTTGAATTCTGCTTAAGCCGGTGCTAGGGGGCGTGGACGGTAACTTGCACTTTCCAGTACCGTCCATGAACAGGCTCAATCAAACCGAGCCTGCAACATTTTCAATTTTGTCGTGTTGGGCTTTCTTTAGGGATTCTGTATTTATCTATATTTTGTATTTTAATCACTGGGCGTAACCCACGGAAAAGAAACATTTTTTAAGTTATCAGCCTACCTCAAAAATTCTTGAAATGTTATAAATTGAAGACAGTGTTTGAGTACGTGACGTTCGCAAGAAGTTATATTCGAGCCGTATATAGTTATTTATTATATTGATATATTTTCAGAAGAATTGTCCATTGTTATCTATAAAGAAAATAAATTCGACTGCTTACGAAATGTCTCATGAAACGTTTTTAGCAGCAAAATTGTCAAAATATTTATTCTTAGATCATTTAAATGTCATTTAAAGAGCAACGACTGAGTTCAAAACAAAGGTGTGATAAACACAAATTGCAATATTGCTTATACATATTATATAGTGCTCGTATTCAGAATAGTTCTCGTCATTATGCATGTTCTGTGGCTGTTATGGCGGTGCCTGCGCCGAGTATACAGTCCATATTTGCACAAATACGGTGAGGGATTTGATAAGTCCGAGGACTTACGTAGATATTAATGCACGAAAAAAGGGTACATAAGTGCTTTTCTGGCATAAAAGTATACGTTTAAATTTTCGATATCTGTATTTCGTTTTTAAAGGCCATTGATTGTGACGTTATAGTGCACGAGTGCACTGTCATTCGCAAGTATTGATGATAAAACTACCGTGGGCCGTAATTGCAGTATTATGGTTAGATTTTTTGTACATTGTGCCATGTATAACCCATGAAAACAAAGAAAAAGAAAAAGAAAAGAAAACTTACAACAACGGCGCGTGGTTGTCTTATTGATCATTTTAACGCAAAAATAGTTAATAATTTATCTTTTGAAACTATTAAAATTGATATATAACCTGTAGTAATGAAGAACTTCCTTGTTCTGTTAAAATCGATATCACCTCAATCGACGTTCAAGACGGGGTAAAAATCAGTTGGCGTTTTGAGATAGTAACAAACAGGTACGTTTTAATTCTCTTAAATTTGATGTTTTTCACTTGTTCAGTTTCATGTTAGTATATAAACATTTAGCGCGATCGATGATCGACCTCGTAAAGTTATTATTACATGTCTTTTTAAAAATGCATGCCCGTAATTTTGTCGAAAGTTATTTTGGGAAATAGACCAGAAACTTTAGGATATTTGGACAACTATTTGTAACCTAATGTCGTTGAAACGTTTTGCATTATTCATTTCTGAATTGTACTACATTAAAGATATATTTAATTATTACGATTCAACGGTTGGTTTTCTTGCACTAAATGCTAACTGGGTTTTAGTTTTTACGCACGTTTAAGGTTGCCATGGACTTGTTTATCTATGTTATTATCGATAATTGCTTCTAGTCGCCATGGGCTTTAGCGGTTTTCGATTTTGGATTTGTTGTTTCTTGTGTGCCACACCAAAATTACTTTATTCTTCATATAAAAACCTTTTTTTTTTTTAAATAATTTTAAGATAATTTCAAAATATATTTTTTTTTAATATTTTTTTTTTTAATAATAGATTTTTTCTTTTTTAGAATTTCTTTTATTCTTTATAAAAGGGTAGGTAAAAGATCTAGGTGATCAAATCTTAATAAAAGTAACAGCTTTAACTTAAAATCGAACTGGTTCAATATCAAATTCATTATTAAACTTAAACTATCGGCTAAATTATAAATATCTTTAATGGATTATTATTGACTTAAACTGAAACGTCATATCTTATTCATATCGAATAATCATCACCTATAGTAAGGTAAGTTTGATGATTACTCGACCTTGAGTAAAATGGGCAATACGAGTATCGCCGTAAATCAAATGTAGTGTGGTGTAATTGACGGTACTCTTTTAGTGTAATATCAATGATCAAAATTTTGTTCGAGACTAGTTAACTTTCAGAGGTTCGTAATTTGCTCTGATTTACGCTTAGGATTTCAAAATATATAGTAAAGATCTCGATATCTATATAAAAAAAAATTACCCAGTGGCCAAGAAGTAAGTACGACGGAATTGTGACGACGTATTTGCAATTATTATGAAAATTGAACAGACCTTTTTTGTAGTTTTCATATACTAATTTTGTTTCATTTTTCGTCTACCTTAAAGTTTGTTTGTTTTTAGAAAACGAAAGTACAACAGTTGACGATATTTCGAGTTTGGTTATAATTGGTTAATAAGAGACAGTCTTTAATATATTTTGTCACACATATTATTTGATCATTATTTTATCAAATTCGACTTCATTTTCTGTCATACAAATACATAAAAAAGATAAGATTGCATCCTTTTTTATTACATCTAAAGTCACATGGTTAATACGTGAAAATTGTCCTCGTGTTCCAATTGATCCACGCTTTTCGTATTGTAAAGTTTCATACTTCAAAACACATACAGTGAATACAAACCTATTAAATATCAAATTGAAAAAAACACAAGGTTATAAAAAAGTAGGATCAATATTTTCATAATATAATCAATATATTTAGAAAAAATCAATTTAAGTATACCGAAAACGAGAAATTTATAAAGGAATAAAATATATGTATAAAAAACTAGTGTATCTTTAAAGAATTGATCACTTATATCGGAACCGAAATAATAGTCCCTTTTAACTAAAACGTTCCAAATTTTAAACTCAATTATGCTATACAAGATAAGTATTTTATTCAGGATAACATGTTTCGAGATTTAAAAGTCACAATATGAATACATTTCTAAATTTAATACAAATACAACTGATGAAATGTCAGCTTTATACATGTACATCTACTTGGTTTGATATTGCAATGGAAATACCATATACCTCGGCTGCGAAAAATATTTAACGTTCTAAAACATATATATGTAGAATATTAAATCATTTATCGAAACTTCTGTACAATCTCGTGAATCTTGCAACCAAAACACACAAAGATTGAATGACGAACCGACTCGCCCAGGTAAAAAACATTTACTAAATGAAAATAGGTCTGGAAACCTTGGGCCCATTTGTCAATGTCGTCGGGCCTCATTCCTTGCTGGTAGATAGTAAAACCATTTTAAATGTAGCGCAATATATTTATACAAAAAGAATTTACCAGACCGCATTGTTTACCACTACTAGTTGCCTCAACTTTCGCAAGGAACTGAAACTTCTGTACATGTCAGATCAGAGGTAAAATGCGAATGACCGTAGACAGGATTTCATGATCAATCATAACGGAAGTGACCTGCACCGTCCTGGAATCGAACCGGGGTCGCCAGATTCACAGGTCAACGTTCTACCTATTGAGCTAACCGTACGACATACAGTAATGATAATCAATAATTTACCTTTATACTCAGTACTCATAACAGAATCGTTTTGCTCATAACGGAACTCATATTTTCATTTAAAAACCTAGCATATTTATGTTTTATAATGCAATAGCTGCGAAAAACGATATCGCAATATCCTGAATATGTGAATTTACATGCTATACATTTTAACATCTCGTTTCCCCTTTCAGTATGGGTATCGATATCGAAACGTACCGTGGTAGAATAGGAACTTTCAGATTTTCATCGGGAGTCGATGTTGTGACGATTGTTTGTCCTGTGAACTTAAGTGGCGGGATTAAAGTTATCGGTACTGTACTTTTCATAGGACTACTTTTGTTGCTTTCCGGCATAGAACCTAACCCTGGGCCGAAGGAGAACGGTAAGGAGTTTGAAATTTCTAAGGCATGATGTGCTTAGATTTATTAATTTCTGAGGCATGATTTGCTTAGATTTACTAATTTCTGAGGCATGATATGCTTAGATTTATTAATTTCTGAGGCATGATATGCTTAGATTTAATAATTTCTGAGGCATGATATGTTATTCATTTGCCTTTTTTGTCTGATTAGATCATTTAATTTGTATTTCAGACGATGAACAAGCAAGGAGGACGATAAAGGTTGCAGGAATTCCTGCTGGAATAGATAAACAATACCTTACTCTCTTTTTCAAAAGTTCAAGAAAATGTGGTGGAGGAAAAATCAGCAACATTCAGTTTGACGAAGAAAATCATTCGGCTGTTATACAGTTTGAAAATGTTGATAGTATGTATACAATGTATTTTTAAATGAAATTATAAGCCATTAATCTTGATTGAGGAAATACATTAAGATATACTTTTGATGAACTGAAATGAATTTTCGAAATTCCATGTGCTAACAGCGATGAATATTGACCAGCTAAAGGGCCTCGCTCCCCTCCAAAGATATGCGCACAATCTGATTACATATAAACAAAATAGCAGAAAGTCTGAACGGTGCATGTTTTGAGCATGTCGCATTTACATTTCATCTTAACAGCATAACCCCTTTCTCACAACAAACAAAAGAAACGCAAAAGACCACGAATATTACGTAGATACGCACTTAGAAATGCAACCGTATTTAGGATTAAGCAATGACGAACCAAAATAAAATTAATTAGCTGTCCGAGGAGCAGAGCCCTCAGTCCTGGATGGAAAACTTATAAATTGAATAAAATGTTATACATTCATAACATGAAATCGGTATGGCGGATAGTACTCATCAAGGTGCGTGTGAAAGTTCTCTTGAAATGTGCCATGGTCAGTTGTATATCGTTAATACGTACACATCTAAGTGACCTTGACCTTTTGATCGGAAAGCGGTTGTTGCTGGAAGTACTCGTGCAAATAAAGTTTGAAGTACCTATGTCCATGTATTTTGAATAGATAGCCGGCTTAAGTTTGTTACTTGTTCCATTGAGCAAGAACTTTGTATTTGACCATTTGAGCAGTAAATAAATTTGCAGGTAAAACGCACCTAAAAAGTTTTGTCTTTAGAGTTGTCATTCTAAACTTACACGGTAAAAAAGAAAGTTACATGAATCTTAAAATTTAACAACGTAAAGATTTTATTGGTAACAATTTAGATAAAAATTAAAAACAAGAACGGTTACAAAGTATATCATGTTTATAAGTTGAGATTTTTACGATCAGGTAGTATCTTGCTACATACAAATGAGTATCAATAAATCAACCATGGGCATAAAAATTATTGACCGGGTTGTCTGTATACTTTTGACATCAAATTGTTAGGTAACATTTCAAAAATATTTCAACCATTTAGCGAAAGTAGAACGGTTATGTTTATTTAGACTACATTTAAACAATCAAGAGAACGCGTGAACTGCTCAGATGCGACGGTAGTATTATTTACAGTAACATTTAAGTATGTTCCATTCAATGAGTTCATTTTTAATATCGTTTTTAAAAAATCCCTTCGTAACAAAATTCTTTTACAATTTACAAATAATGCTGATATCGATCTTCCAGCTGTTCAGTCAGTGTTACAAAGAAGGCCTATTAAAATAGCAGGAGCGGTGCTAGATATAGATAGCTTTGGATCAGAACCGAGTTTCAACTTTTCGATATGCTCTTCCCCGACAATAGAGGTTACTGGCTTCCAGACGGGTGATTCGCAAATGACAGAATTTCTCGAATTATACTTTGAAGATGAGGAAAGTTCAGGCGGTGACACTATAGCTAATATAACAGTAGATGACGATGGAAAAGCCCTAGTTACATTTGAATCGATCGAAGGTAAGCACTGACTAAACTGTGTTCTAAGTAGCCGCAATACACTCGATATTACATGCACTAAACGACTTCCTTTTTAACGTATTAATCGTGCAATATTGCTGGCGTACATGAACTAGATTGGTTTTTTTTCTTATCTTACATAGCTAAGCCAAACAAGGACGTCATAACTAATTTTTATGGACTGTTTGAAGGTGACACATAATATGTCCTGTAAACACATCTGCTTAATGGAATTGTTACAAACGATTTTTCTTTCTTATTTTTTTAAAATATGTGTTTCAGTTGCTCAACGGGTGGTTAATAAAAGCACACACACATTAAAGCAAAACACGTTGAAAGTGGTTCCACATAGACAAGACATCCCACCAGAACATGACATTGATACATATTCCTCCACTCCTTCAATGGAAATTACATCAGGTATAGTTCCTTCTACAATTGTGCAGATTATGCAGCATAGTTCTATATATATATGTTGATGCAAAACTTGGTCATGCATTGCTTTAAGAAAAGATTTACTTTTTAAACGAATTCTGGAACATTTTACTACAAGCATCTTTTTTTTTATATCATGACTAAGATTATCACGTTATATAGATCACTTAACTAAAACCACATAAAAGACCCTAACAATACAAACGATTTTTCCAAGAGCACATGTTCTCAACATAATTGATAGTCATAATAAAAATACATTCTATAATCCATATCGCTTTTAATGAAATGTGATGAATATGTTTGGGTTGTGCAAATGTCATGTATTACAACGTTTCATAATAAAAGGACATACACGATAAGGATATATTGCATGCACATGTATCAGTGAAACCATGTTATTGAATCATTAAACAAAATTAATGAATTCAGCTGTTTTACCTTCTCTGTAAATTGACATACAAGTGCCATAACTGTACCATTTTCTTTATTTTATAAGATAGGATTTAACAATGATATAGATATATGATATAAAGGTACATTATGTCTATTACTGTATAAATTAAGATGATGTAGTTAACCTTTTAATAATAGCCCAAGCATCAATCCCCGAAACTATCCACAAACGAACGGAAAGGAAGGTAGACATGGATGATATACTTGGTAAGTTACTCTGATACCAAAAATACTTAACACGATAATCACTTTAAGTTCTGATTTTTTAAAGTTGATAAGCTGCAGCAAATAATCATTTTAGTATGAATCCCGTGCTATGTTTAACTCAAGGACCTGAAAAAAAACTAAACCTGAATCTGCAGTTTCTTGTTTTATTATGATATTATCATTGCAGGAGAGTGTACTAGCATATTTGATTTGAGTTTGTAGACCTGATTTCCTTTCTTTTCTTAAGCTCTTTATTATTTTATGAATGCAATTAAGTCAGATATCGTACTGATTTACCCACATATGGCTAACGTTTGCTTATACAAATCCTCTAGTGCATAATCAACGATGTGTTGGTTATTTTTCGCCAATCTTTGCTTGTTACTTGTATAACCGTTTCAATAAGCTTATCGCTTTCAACACAATCGAACTTAAATAAATTTGTATAATTTGTATAAACTAACCTTTTGCTGTTAAATCGGTTATCAACAGTATCAGTTTGGAAAATTCGATTTTTGTGCTTTATGCTATTCAGTTGAGGTGCCGGAGCGGTGCAAACTGTCGAACATTGTTGAAAAACGGTTTCCTACTGACAATGAAATAAAAGGTATATTTATTTAACGTTATCGTTATTTCATAAGTAAAACATCGAGTAAATGGTTATAGCGGCTACCTTAAGCGCGTACACCTACTCGACTGTGTTAGAATAGACAATGATTTTTCCTGATACACCAGTCATGATAATTTCAGAGAGATTTTTGCAAATAAGCTTCATGCTTTAATCAGCAAGCGAAAGACGATAATTATGTTTTAGGTATATATAAACATCTATGAACTTAAGAACGTAACAGCCACATTATTAATTGTTAATCATTTATTATTGTATTGCATTATTTTAATTTTCCTAAACATTCATTTTTTGCATGGTGACTGCTATAGTTAAGCCGTATTCTACTAAATAGATAGAGGTCTTTTATCATTATTTTCTTTATTTTATAGACAAAGCGAAAGCCAACAGTGATAAGATTTTACATCTTACTGGTCTGACAGACAAATTCCCAGAAAAAATTACAATTGCGGAAATTATGTCCATAGATCTTAAAGCTGATGTTAAACATAATTATGCAAACGAAGAATTGCCATGGATTCTACTGCGTCGTATTTTAGGAGTTCAGAGTAAAGCAAGAGATCGTTCTGGCATAATCAATGATCATACAGAAAGAGCAGAACAGACGCATGCACGAGATGTTGAAACTATTGTTCAATTCTTTGATCATTTCACCGTGGACGACACAAACGACGAAGGTGATGGAACTTCTCCTTTAGATATATTTCTAATAACACTACAATGCTGCGACCCCATGCTGAAGCAATTATTGTTTCAAAAGTTGTATTTGTGTAAAATAGCTTTTCCTTTTATACAATATGACAAATCGTTAAATGATTGGGAATTTATAATATGGCCCTTACGTTCTTTAGTTGTAGAAAGTTACAATATATCACAGACACCTGAAACAGAAACAAGGGAATTTGAGATTCTAGAGCTCCCTGTAAAAACAGTAACTTTTGCAAATTTTGGTAGACCAGATTATTCAAAGTCTAAATTAATGAATGATTTACTTTCGGACGATATTCAAGATACATTTTTCAATATCAATTGCCCCCTTGGTATGTCACCAAAATCTTGCAGTAAAGGAACAGTAGAAATGTTTACTCTACCTATTTGTGGTTTAAAAGAAAAAAAGTTTGAAGATGCAATTGCATTTTTTAATTTGAGAGGGAGGATTGAAGAAAATTTTACGACAGAGGTCATTACATTTGTTTCAAAAATATCTGATATTCTGGTTCTTTTACTGGATGAGTCGTCCATTATTAAACGCGATGAAGAACTTTGTAAAATGATAACCAATTTCACAACCGTAATCATTGTCATAGCTAGCAAGACAAAAAAATCTACTGTCGAACAGTTTATTGAAAAGCTGACACCTACAACAAGACCTACTGTAAGAATTATCAGTACATATAAAGCACGTACTCAAAAGAATTCTAAAGATTTTTCAGAACAACTTCGACAACTTATAGCTACTCGACTCAAGATCTCCGCAGTGAAATCTCTAGATGATCGTGTAAATGAATGTTCATCTCATTTAAGTGACGAGACCAGAACCGATTGTGCAAAAGCCAAGGTAATAGCCACCCAAGTATTTCAATCTATGACTGATATTGGAAGCAAAGGTCAGATGAAAAGATTCATAACACCGGTACACTTCATTTACTCAAAACAAATTGGTACCAGTATAAGAAGTTTACATAGAATGAAAAACGTACAAGAAACTCACACTATAACAGCAAAAATCAAGCAAATAAGGAAAATTCAGCTTCAAAGTATTTCGAGATCAATGAAGTTATTTCTTCAGTCACTTGACAATGTCAAAGATAAACCAATGATGGTGCAATATTTAGTAAAATGGCTTTCTATATTGTTAGATCGACAGAAAAGGAAACAGATACCTTCTTTAGTGCGTCAGAATCAATTACATAGACAAGAATTGGTTGCATTGCAAAGCAACACATCTTCTAAAGACCAAGATATAAACACACTTAAAGAAGAGATCGCCAAATCACAAGAATCAATAGAAGACGCAAACTTAGGAATAGAACATATGTTTAGAGAGTTAGGACACATATATGAGTCTGTGATTGTCATGAAAGCAGATCCCACAATGTACCAGCTTCCATCAGTCCAAAATGTAATACATATTATGACATCATTAATAGTGTCAGGACAAATCTTCGAGATCATTGACGGTGACAATTTTTTTCTTCCGAGTGAATGGGTTCAAGCGGTTTTAGAGCAAGTGTCGAAAAATATTCACTCAAAAAAGTGTTTAACACTGTCTGTTCTTGGGGTTCAAAGTTCTGGTAAGTCAACATTACTGAATTCCCTGTTTGGATCTTTGTTTCCGGTGAAATCTGGGCGATGCACTAGAGGTATACATATGCAAATCATGCCTATTACACCAAACAACAGTCTTCCTTTCAGTTATGTGACAGTTATAGATTCAGAAGGTTTACGATCTACGGAACGTACTTCTACGACACATAACCACGACAACGAGTTATCAACGGTGATAGCGGGGTTAGGTGATATAACACTGCTTAATGTCATGGGTGAAAATACCAATGAAATTCGGGACATTGTACAAGTAGTTGTACACGCATTTCTTAAATTGAAACTTGCAAATAAGCAACTTGATATCGGGAAAATATTTTTCTTGGTACACCAAAACGTAATTGATACAACTGCTCGAGAAAATTTGAGGACAGGTTTAAATGCATTGATAGAGACTCTGGACTGTGCAGCAAAGAATGCAGGAGAAATAGAAGGTATACGCGAAATAAAAGCATTTCATCAAGTCATAGATTTTGACACGAATGCAAATGTGTGGTATCTACCGAGTTATTGGCAAGGCAACCCTCCTATGGCGAGAGTCAATGCTACTTACAGTGATCGCGTTTTCGACAAAAAAGGCACTCTTTTACAGAAAGCTTTAGAATGCAAGGATAAGTCCTACAAATCTCTCGGTGATGCTGCTATTCATATCAGAGATTTATGGAAAGGTGTTTTAACGGAGGATTTTGTATTTAGCTTTAGAAATAGTCTTGAAATAAAAGTCTATATTCATATGGAAGAAACATTAAAAGATATTTTGATCAAATTTGAAGATAAAATTGAAAACAAACACGTTATATTGTCTCAAAAATATTTTTCTGAATGCTCAAATCAACAACACTTGCCGGATACCTCCGACAGGCTTGTTAAACAGATGCGTACGATTCTGGCTGAAAATCTTTCTCTTGCAGTAGAAGAAGTAAATGAATACTTTGATAACAGTGAATATAAAGATATACTAGTACAGTGGCAGGATTTTGCAAAAAAGCGTACTGAGGCTTTATATTTAGAATTAGAGGATAGAATAAGGACTGAAACGCTTAGATTGCGAGATAGAACGCGTATTGAATTAAAAATCAAAGAAGACAGTTTAGGACACGAAGCTAAAATGTATGAACGATCTCTACAGGTAGCAAAATACATCAAAGGCGAATGTCTAAATATGGAGGAAATAGAGAATAAATTTGAACAAACTTGGCACTCAATTAGCAGGGAGATTCTAGATTTTGGTGAGCTAGAAGATGTTTCAAAGTCACTTGCAGACAATTTTGAACGATGCCTTTTCGATATTCTTAGTACAGAGCAACTTATATTGAAGACGGAGTTTGAAAAGCGGAGGAACAATAGCTTTTATATCATCAATACCTTGACGGGATCGTTCGACCTCAGCGGCATAGTGTTGGATGATATCAGCTTTTCATCAGAATCTTTCAGACAAGACAACGAGATAAAAATGTCACGTGTGAAAGATGAAATAAATAAAACATTATGTGAGATAGAAACATTAGTGGGTACATTTTTAGGAGACATGAATGAACTAACATATCGAGAAGTGAAACATATATTGTACAAGATATACAAGAAAATTCAGCTGTTACAAAACCAAGAAAATGACATTTCATTGAAAATAACAGGAGTTATCAAATTATGTATTCACGTGACTGCTTTTTGTTCCACACGTTTTGATGCACATAACGCTGAGTATCACAAAAGTAGGGGTATACATGCCAGAATTTCAAACTACAAAGTTCAAGTAAGAGAACAGTTTATTGCATATGTTAAAGACCGTAAAGCTGAGGAAACTGCTGCTAAACAAATCACGGTTATTGTAGAAAATATTTTGTTGGACAAAATACAAGACAGGATTCAATATACTGTTAAAGTTATATTAAAACAAACTTTGCCCCAATTGAAATATCATTTGATTATTGAAGTTCTTGAAGATTTGACAGTTGCTGATGATTTTGACTCTTTTATAAAATACATAAAAACTCCTAGAAATCTTGTGAAAGATTGGGTGAAGAAAAAAGCGAAAACTTTCCTATTTAATTCCAACATGACGAATTTCTCTAAAATAGTTAACAAAGTCGTCAATGAATTCTATAATGACATCCAAGTAAGTATTGATAAATGCTATGAGACATTTCGTCACGAGAGCCCAACTTCAGAAGAATGGACCAAATCATTCGTGCAGAATTTTTCTATGTGTCCAATTGGAACATCAGAGTTCAAAAATGTAACAAAATGGTTTAGTCAGATAGAAAATATAAAAAACTTTAGCAGTTTGCTTACTGATAGCATCAAAGCTTCCTCTGAAGAAATTGTAAAACAATTGATAACGAAAGAACAAGTCGAGAGAATTATTAAATTCAAAGGTCCAGAGAGCATGGTAAAAGCCTTATTTCAACAAGTGTGGGGCTGCCCAGAGCAATGTCCATTTTGCGGGGAGCCATGTGCGAAAGCTTTCATACATGGAGGAACGAACCATTTTAGTTTGCAACACAGAATATCGTCTTGTTTAGGTGCAAGAGAGGACTTTATACATAAAGCTGTACTGTCATCTTGCAATTTTAATGTCCAATCAGATCTAGAGCACCATTGTGATTTGTTTGGCTTCCGATGCAACAAAGAAGCAAAGAAACGATGTGGAAAACAATGGCATTTATTTAGAAATTATAGGGAGCATATACCAGACTGGGATATCGAGCCAAATGCAAATATACAAGAATGCTCAAAATTTTGGCTATGGTTTGTTGCAAAATATAAATACCAGTTAGCAATTTACTATAAATATGATATATCTGACATACCTGACTCCTGGGATGAAATCACACAAGCAGAGGCTTTGGAAAACCTCAGAAGAATTTACTCATTGTAAATATCATTTGTTAAAATTGTTAGAAAACGAGTGCATTTATAAAGGATTATCGAACCAAATATATTAAAGTAGGGGCCTCATTATGTATGTGCATGAACGAAGGAACGTGCAAACAACTGCTTAAAATTTGGCCGCACATTGAATGCATTACGTTATATAGAGTCATAAATTTGCTTCATAGAGAAGAATCTTACGTTAGATCAAATGCAACCGCTGTTATTATTATTACAACTTGAAATTTAACTCAAGTGTTTAGTTTTCATACTTGGATAAGACAATTAAAACAGTTTATAATTTTGTGAAGGTTTTTGTTTTGAAAGAAATGTTTGCTATATATCAAAGTAAAGTTTGGTCTACCAAAACACGTTTAAATTTGATTAATTTTATTTGTACAAACAGAAATTAAATAGTACATTGAAGATTTCTTAATTATCTGAGGTTTGCGTTAAAGTAAGTATGTTATTGATGTGCTGTATAATTAAACTTCAACGTTTAAAATGAATAAAAATATTATAAACGTGGACCGATAGCTAATTAAAATCATAAGTTTGCATGGGTTTGTTGACATAAACTTTTACTTATTTATCTATCATTCAGATTCTAGGCTTATATCTAATAAGACATTTTGTCACTGTGATTAAATACCGACACCTTAATCTCTTCTACTCTTGATACATACTGATCATATGGAACTCAAAGTATTTTCCTAAAATTGTGTACAACCTTTTTTTAAATTATATTTCTGACATTTGTTAAATAGATGTCCAAGGAAAAAACATAGTTACAAACTTACAAATCTGCAATTTTTCATAACACAACATGATAATATGAGATTTAAATCAAATCATCCTGTAGTTTATACGAAACAAAGTTCGATATCTAATTACATCAGTTGTAGCTAAGTGCACACATTCTATTGCAACTCCGTATATTGACATTTATGTGATTATGTAAACGTGAGATTCTTTTTCCATTTTATCTGTGATAAATGATAGTTATTCATCTAAATAATCAGACAAACATTTGTATCGCACATGCAACAGAATACGTATAATTATGTACGAGGTTTGTTTCAAATCAATACTTAATTTTACTTTCATTACAGAAAATCATGAAATTACATATAAATACATTATATTATTAAACCTTCTAACGGCTCTGCGTTATTAGAGTGAATTAAACTCAAATCTGTGTCCAGTTTTCTGTCGCTATAGTAACCAAAGTCAACAACACTGCTTTAGGTAGGTTTTAATGAGATTGTATCTTTGTGATTCATATATAATTTGAGCTATAAAAAGTGGCGTCAAAATAGCGCACGAGTATAACCGATGTATGATATTTGAAGTTTTGATATGTATTTTGTAATTATTTGACTTTTATTTTGATACACTTTAACTATAATTTTGATATGATTAGTATTACGTTTTAAGCTACACGCCTCCAGATGAGCAAAAATATTAAATTCAAACCTGAGAAAAATGTACGTAGACTTTAGGCAAAGTATAAAGATTCAAAATTCTAGTAATAATTTACATGTCGAGCGCGATTAGTGAGCGATCTTTCAGTATTTGTAATTATATTTCTACTGCGTTACTAACGCAGTGAGGGCTATTTCTGCATATTTGACCTCTTTATTACATGGGTTGTTAGTGCCATTGATAATGTCTAAATTGCAGTTTTTTGGTAACTTCATAATATTATACTGTTTTATACATTTTCAAATTTTTATGAAAATTTGCATGGAGGCATCTGGAGGCGTGCTGCTTTAAATGTCATTTGCATTTCAATTTGATATCATTTTATATTGATTTTAATATCGTTTACTTAACTGATATATTTTAACACCATTTTCACTTTTTTTACAATGTTATTATCATATTTTTACTCAAGACCTGCATGATTAAATTGTGTTTAGTCTATTATTTAAGGTGACTTGTAGACCCATAGGGCCATGTTTTAAGTTATTTTATTTTGTACAAAATATGTTCATTCAAAGTATGTTGTAACATATGTCATTGTAATAAACAATTTATCTTCCTACATTAAACACACACTGTGCCTCAGGAATGAATAAATGTGTTCTTCTCTAGAAGAAGCAGCCATAAGTTTCATAATCACAATTAAATAATTGTTTTAGAGTATGTTTGATGCTTATTACAATATATTTTATATTTTATAATTTGTACTGCTCTACTGTAAGAAACATAAACAAATGGATTTTAAATCTCTTCTGAAATTAACAAACACAAATGAATATTTTGTAATCTGTATTGTTATAAACAAACATAAATGGATATTTTGTAACCTGTACTGTTATAGACAAACACACATGGATATTTTGTAACCTGTACTGTTATAAACAAACACACATGGATATTTTGTGATCTGTACTGTTATAAACAAACATAAATGGATATTTTGTAATCTGTACCGTTATGAACAAACACACATGGATATTTTGTAATCTGTACTGTTATAAACAAACATACATGGATATTTTGTAACCTGTACTGTTATAGACAAACACACATGGATATTTTGTAATATGTACTGTTATAAACAAACACAAATGGATATTTTGTAATATGTACTGTTATAGACAAACACATATGGATATTTTGTAATTTGTACTGTTATAAACAAACACAAATGGATATTTTGTAATCTGTACTGTTATAGACAAACACACATGGATATTTTGTAATATGTACTGTTATAAACAAACACAAATGGATATTTTGTAATCTGTACTGTTATAAACAAACACAAATGGATATTTTGTAATCTGTACTGTTATAAACAAACATAAATGGATATTTTGTAATCTGTACTGTTATAACCAAACACAAATGGGTATTTTGTAATCTGTACTGTTATAAACAAACACAAATGGATATTTTGTAACCTGTAGTGTTAGAAACAAACACACATGGATATTTTGTTATATGTACTGTTATAGACAAACACAAATGGATATTTTGTGATCTGTACTGTTATAAACAAACACAAATGGATATTTTGTAATCTTTACTGTTATTAAAAAACACACATGGATATTTTATCATATGTACAGTAATAAACAGACAGTAATGGATATTTTATAATCTGTACAGTAATAAATTGACAGAAATGGATATTATATAATATGTAAAGTTATAAACACTCAAATGGATATTTTATAATATGTTCTGTAAGTCTTTACAGCTCTTGTCAAAATTTCCTTATTCATGTTACCTTTATTATAAAATTATGAGATATCCACATTCTGTTTAGTGAAATACCTCTTTCAGTTACAAAAAGGTCTGAAAAATGAAATTGGTATTATTTATGATATTTTATTTAAAATATGTGTTGTATTATATACGTTAGAAATATACTTAAAAGCGGTCTTCAACTTTTATTTTTTGTTGGTTAGTTTGTTTGTTTGTTTCATTTTACACCTTTTCCCAACAATATTTCAGTCATATAGGCAGGTAGTTTCCTAACCATCGTTCCTGGAGAGTTACATCAGTACTAGACTACCTTCCTACGCGCTAAACTACCAAAGCCCGGGGATCGAACCCACGCCAGAGATGTTATTGGATTAGAAGTCATCGACTCTAACCCGTCGACCACGGAGATGGTCTATTTTTTGTTGGAAAAAACATTTCTTTGTTTTTTCAAACTAAGTATATCTTGGAAACGTGCATCGCCCCGAATGCTATTTATAGCACATCATTGACATCTGGATGCATGCAGCTTCAAACTGTATTAAATAAATTTCATTAAAACAGAAATGGCAACATTTGTTTTATTACATGGGCTACGTAGCGGCTCCCGTTCTTATTTTGGTTTCCAGAATAACCAAAATGAGCTTTATAGGCATAAAAGTCAGCAACTTCGATGTGGTGAAATCCAGAGTACAGTACAGTCAGCCTTTGGGTTATCCGAGCATCAACAGAAAATCAACAAACACTGCTTGAAGTAGCAGTTCGAGTTAAACGGTATATTTCCGCACTACATAACGAATGTTTTCATAATTTTATTTGATTATGACCTTGTACAAACGACAGACCTAATGAACGGCAAAATGTGATTAGATGGTAAAATCCTACATTTGCCGTTAACAACTATAGATTTTTACTGACACTGTGACGTAGCGCATACACGAGCTTATTACAGTCTTCATTTGCATGTTAAAATTATATACACACTTTTGTGTTACCGTTTATATATGGTTTTCCTTTCAAAATCATAATTTCTGAAAAGTATTTGATTACATTAACATCGCTTAGGTTCAAAATGTTTATAAAAGTGTAGACTGCTTGGTTTTTAGGCTGACGGGAAAATAGTTATACATATTAATAAAATGCAGCTTTAATTACATTTGTATTTTGATTTGACAACTATATGAAAGGATTTATCTATCAATAACATATTTAATCGAAACATAACATATTTAAAATTTAGAAAAGCTGAAGGATTTTGCAAAGAGGATACCGATATGGCTATGCACCGTGCTTTATGTTACACACACGTGTTTAATGTCATGAAAGATAACTCTAAATTAACTCTTGTAAGAATCATTCGCGAGTTGTCTCGCTTGGTTTAAGACCTATTGGAAAAAGAAATCATTTCAGGTACTCATGTTACGCCTAATAGCTGAACAGGTAAAGCGTTGTTCTGTGAATCAGTCGTTCCGTGTTCGATTTCAGGAAGGTGCAGGTGTCTATTTGTTACTGATCATAAAACCCTTTTTACAGTTATTCGCACAGTATTTAAGCTCTGACATGTAAGTTATTTCATCTAATACGACAGCTTGCCAAGGAACGGCGTAATCTCGTTACTCACTGCCCGTGAGGGTAAACAACAGACATCCACTCTTAGATACCCTCTGAATATTACCTGTTATCAAAGAAAAATACTTACATAGTTAAGCTGTTATATTTACCAGGCTTGAATTGAAAGTATCCTCTATAAACCAATAATCGGTGCATACTAAATACCGGTTTTTTCAAGAATATTCCGATTTGAAACGCAATTCAATATCCGCTACATTTTGTTTACTTTGGCTTACACTGTCAAAAGTGAAAGTTGTGTAACAATTTCATTTTCACGGGTGAGTATGAATACAAAAAATTGTGATCGTATTTTGGCAGTTTTAAACAGAAGTGTATCTCGCTTCGGACATAGTTGATATTTAATAGACATTTGCGGTTTGATAAGAGGAACAAGGACTGAGGATCGAGGACAAGTTATTTATGAGGATAATCTCAAGATTATCTAACAGTTTATAATGAAAGAAGATGTGTGGTATTCAGTTTATTAACCATTTTATTATATATATTGAAATTCATGTCAATAACATTTAAATTGTTAATTCTTCTATCTTTCCCGCCACACATGTGCACAACACGAGGTAAAACATTACGCTTATGTCTCCACACACCACACACTGACTTATATGTTTTTAGCTCAGCTATCAAATGTTCAACAATAACCTTGTATTTTGTGATGTACCTGTTAAGTTTTCGGGACTTAAGCTAAGTTCGCATGTCCATTCTGTTTAGTTGTGCACTGGTATAGGGATTCATTAAAGGGTATCCGTTAGGGTATATTTTGTCCGCCAAGAGCACACAGTTTGCTGGAAATTCTAAATCTACACCCACTTGTCGCATCATTCGAAATTGTTACACGTCATTCTGGTGGCCTTGTGTGTGTATTTCATGATATTGTCTGCGTCCTGAATAATATTGTTCCTGCGGCTCTACTTAAGGTCGGTATATTCTGTGAGATGTACCATCAATAGTCCCGACCGCCATAGGTGTTGTTCCATAATAACATCATGTAAGACCACTTTTGGACTGCAGACCATTTTACATATCTTTTTAGTTTTAAATAGAAGCATTGAAGTACAGCCCGGATCTCGTCTTTCACTGTCGATACACTAATATCAAATAATGTTGATAATACCATAATAGTCGGATAAAAGAGTCAGTAAAACAGGGTTTCTGAACGATAGTGTTCTGGGTCTTTGGGATGTTATATTCAAAGTATTTAGTAATCTTAGAAATATTTCAGGTGTCTCACCACACATCTCAAAGAACTGGTATCTATGTGTAGAAAGCAATTAAAATACATTTCTGCCACTGTATTAAGTTTCGCCAATACCAAATAATCTGTAGTTGAGTGTTAGTGTGTGTTTCGGTGGAGATCTTACCCACAGTAAAATTTTGATAGTTAAGGCAAAATAGTTTGATACACGAGGGGGTGGGTAAAAAAACTGGTAATAGTGTTGAAATAATATTTTGGAAACCCTGTCCATCTCAAGAATGAGTCTACGAATAACTGAAAGTAAGAAATGAATCAAAATAATTTCCTTTATACTTTATATTCATATTCATAATTTAGCACTTTAGTTTGACTGTGTATTCATTAGTACATAATTTATGTACAGATTTATCTACACAAAAAGACAGGATTCACCGATTGCCTCCCAAGGAGCATGATAATCTCGTGTCGTTTATCATAAAAAGTCACTTTCGCATGTAAAAAAAATATGGAAGATAACAGAATTAATCCTGGTATGTAAAAATTTATTTCGTTAATCATGTATTTTTAACAATTTTGATCTATACAATGTATATCTTATTAACTAACCTCAAGTATTCATTGATTTATGAACGCAAAAATTAAATAAGTGTACATGAAGTGTACGGTATGTAAGAGACAAAAAAAAAAGAAAAAAGAAAAGGCCGAGCAAATCAACTGTTTGTTTGCGGTTTTCTTTTTCTTACTTAAACAGTTAAAGCAGTTTACTGATAATTATAATTACTGTTTCTCAATATGTTGTTGTAAAAATAAAATGAAAACAAATACACATTCAATCAATTTTCTTGTTTTGGTGCAACTTTGTTACAGAAACGTAAAAAGCAGATGAAAATAAAGAAAGAAGAAATTTTATTGATACTGCGGGCCTATTTGTGGCACCCCACCAACTGGCCGGATATATTGGAAAGCATTAGACACAGTATTGATCAGTTGCCAGAAGATGCTAGAGAACACTACAGAACTTCAGGAGAAAAACAGCTCAAAACCCGAATGTCTAGTAAACTTGGTGTGATTATAAAAAAGAATTCTGCCGATATAGATGATCCTGACATAAGGTAAGTATATGGAACGCCATTCTGCCATGCCAATTGTAATTTATGAAATGACATTTGCTAATGATAAATGTGAAATGCAATTTGCGAAATGACATTTGCTAATGATTATTGCGAAATGACAAATGCGAAATGTTATTGCTATATGCGCTTAATTCTTACTCTCTGGGCCGGGACTGGAATGGATGACCAGCAAATTGACGAATTTATCTTTTATTCTTTGATAAACTGGCACATACAAATTAAACTCGTGTCTCTCATTCCATTTACAGTTACATGTACTACTAATAGTCGGACTATACATTCTAAGATTCGGTATTAAATTATTTATACTAAAATCCCCCACCGGTTTTGTAAGTCAACTGTAAGGGACGTAATACACTGTATCTGTAACGATCCACAAAGAGCTGCATCAATTACAGAGAGTTAAAGGTTCAAACAATATGTGGCATATAGATGGAAACGACAAATTAAAGCCTTTAGGGATTTGTATTCATGGGGCAAAAGATGGTTGGAGCAGAAGGTTGATTTGGCTCAAAGTAGACGAAACAAACAAAAATCCATGTCTGACTTGCACCTACTTTTTAAAGTCAATTCGTGAGCTCAAGAAGGTTCCGTTCATATGGACCGGCTACAGAATATGTAAATATTGCTGATGTCAAAACGCTTCTTCGTTCTCACCACAATGATATGTTTACAAGATGTGCTGTAATGGATAGTTCATCGAATCACAACCAAAGGATCGAATGGTTTTGGCAATATTTGAGATAATCCCTGTTACAGACGTGCATGGATTAATTTGAGTGGTGTTTTGCAAACAGACAACGTTCTTCATATATATTGCTTGAAGTTCTGTTTCATTCCTGCAATTCGTAATGAACTTCAACATCATGCACACCATTGGAATAAGCATCGTGTGCGAAAGATGAAGAATGTAAGATCTCTTTCTGAAATACCAAACATGATGTACACTACTGCTGAATTGTATTGCTGTACCGAGCAGAGCAAAGTTGCTGATGAAGTGGAGGTTGATCATTGCTTGCAAATAAAAACTGTTATGAACGTAATCAGTATTGCTGTCAAAAATGTTTTCCGACTGGCCCCTTTCTGTCATTAAACAATACAGATGGCAGATGCCAACCATCTTTTGCCCCATGAATACAAATCCCTAAAGGCTTTAATTTGTCGTTACCATCTATATGCCGCATATTGTTTGAACCTTAAAATCTCTGTAATTGAT